TAATTGAAGGTGTGCAATGCCAAAATAAAAGTATCGACAGGCAGTAGGATAGTTAGGATTTAACCTTATAATAAATATGTATCATGTTATGTATAGATAAAGCAATCTCTAAATAGAAAATGAACGTGGATGTGTATTTATACATCCCAAAAAAAAAACATTCGAAAATAATACAAATTTAGTTATGTTTTAATTTGTTGATGACAAAATCGATGTTAGTGCCAATGTAAACAACATTCAAAGATCTTATTACAACATTGATAAGATAACCTTTACTAATAAGTTTGTTTAAAGGTTCACATAGTGATTTCCGCGCTTTTAGTACAATATTACCGTAAAATTTAGGATGTGAAATACCGTTTTTAATAGTTTTCTACAGGTACAACCAAATTTACTAATCAAATCTTCGTATCTATGAAAGAGTTTAGTAAAGGTTTCAGTAATTTATAAAGTAAAGTAAAGTAAAGTAATCTTTATTTAAAGTCGGGATGCATATATACATAATAACAAAGAACATGAGCTCTTAAGAGCTCTTTAACCGACTGATATTAATAAACAAAACATACATGTAATAACATCAGATTCATATACAACACAAACATACAGACAGCACATACATGTATTAATCATGTTAATACATAGATAGCACATGCAAAATAAAAGCTAGGCAAGATATATATTAAAACAAATGTCAAATATCAGCACATAGTAACACACAATATGTGTATCCAAGTAGCACATGCAAAATTAAACACTATAAAGCACAAGCAAAAGACTGCAAGCAGCTACAGCAAAGGTAATGCATAAGCAAAGCAAATAAATAATAAATAAAAATAACTGCAAAAAATAAAAAATAAAAACATTAAACAAACAGCAGGCTTCAAGGTCAAGTCATGTGGCAGCAAGGAGTTACATTATTTACAGGAACTGCAGGTACAACTTTCTGAAAAACACCAGGTGGAGATAAAATTTTTGAACTGGCCAAAAGTTGATAAGCTCCTTGCCTCATTTGGCAAGGAGTTCCAGAGTCTTGCTGCCTCATAACTAAAGCTTTTCTTACCATACCTTGTTGTTTTTGGCCGTGGTATATCCGCTATGCCTTTGTACCTGAAGTTATATGAATTTTCTTTAATGTTTATTAAATTATGTAGGAATTCTGGATTGGATTTATTAATTATTTTATAAGTCTCTAATGCCATGGTTCTCATTCTTCTGATTTTTAGTGCTGGTAGCTTGGACTGTTCAAGGAGTGTATCGTAAGAATTTTTGTAGTCATCATAAATTGATCTGAGTGCTCTTTCTTGTATTTTTTCTATTTTCTTTGTGTTTTGTTCACTGCAGAAGTGCCATGTGAGAGGACAATAGCTGAGGTTTGACAAGATAAATGAGTGGTATATTGTAAGTTTAGAAAGTCTGGTGAGATGAGTGCCGATTCTTTTTAGTACGTTTAGTTGTCGTGCGGCTTTTTTACATATATTTGAAATGTGGGTGTTGAAATCCAGTTTAAAGTCTATTGTTACACCTAGAAGTTTCACCCCATCGTCACATTTTATGTTGAATCCATTTAAGTTGAAGACCATATTTTGAGTGTGTGTTTTTTTACCTATGGCAATTGCCTGGAATTTTTCTGGGTTTGCCTGCATTTTGTTGAAAGAGAACCATGATATTAGGGAGTTACTATCTTCCTCTAAAGGTTTTATTACTGATTCCAAAGTAGTACCTGATTTAGAGAGGGTGTTATCATCAGCATAGTTATATAAATCACAGTGTTTGACAAAAAGAAAGATGTCATTTATGAATACATTAAATAATACAGGGCCTAATATAGATCCCTGAGGAACACCTTTATAGATATCTTGCATTTGACTGATACTCTGTCCTATTTTTACACACTGTTTTCTTGTCGTCAGATAACTTTTGAGCAATTCAAGAGCAGATGGACTAAGCCCATATTTTTCCAATTTACAAAGAAGTAGATCATGTGGAAGACAGTCAAAAGCTTTACTGAGATCCATCAATATTGCTGCTAAGTATTTATTATTATCCAGTGCCTTTTTCCAGTCTTCCAAAATTTTAAGCAATGTTGACTGACAGCCGTAGCCTGATCGAAAAGCCGCAAGGAAATGGTCGAAAATATCATCAAAGTATTTAGTAAGTTGATTTTCTATGGCTGTTTCAAAAATTTTAGATATAGCAGGTAGAACACTAACTGGTCTATATTTACCCTTTTCAAGCACACTATTTTTTTTATGAATTGGTGCCACTTGGGCGATTTTTAACGAGTCTGGAAAAATGGAAGTGGATAATGGTAACGAAAACCCTGACTTGATAATTTACCAGTCTCTGATTGTATAACCCCTTTATGTCTCTACTTTACATTTGTACCTAAATTTTATGATATTATGTATGTTAATTTATTTGACTGTTAAGTCTGTTTTTGTGATATCCATTTGACGTGACTCTGTACTTATGTATCCCGTCATATCCAGAAATCAACGCCACTTTGCTTATTTGAATATTATACTAAAGAAATCGGATACGGGTCACGGAAATTATATTGAAATGATAGGGAATTTTGAAAAAAATGTCTGTTTTCAACTTTAATTTAAGTGATAGACAGGTTGCCGGGACAGAAAATAAATATACACAACAATATACACCATTTAAACGAAACATAATGACTATCGTTGCAAAAATCAAGGTTCCTGAGCCATTTTAAAAATCGAAGCGAGAGGCTTTTAACATTGCAGTATAAAATACAGGCTAAAATGGCTGAAACGTCAAATTTGATAACTTCGTGTTGAAAATTGGCTAACAAGGTCATTACAAAAACAGGTTGCCGGGATGAAACTTGAAACTTGAATGTCCAAAGAATAAGCAAGTCCAAAACTTGTATGTGTAGTCGTTGAACTTGAGGTTCACACGTAAAGTTAAAATGCCCCTATTTCAAGAAGAATAAACCCACGAAAACAAGAAAAATGATTAAATTCGCGTTCATTGTTTTGATTTTGACCGCCTGACACCTTTACGGAAATATCAGAGTGATTATAAACAAGGACTCTGTGACGGGCAACTTATAATATCCGTGTTTTAAAGATTTTAATGATATCAAGCCAGTCCAGTTCAAACTATTATCACGTGGTACAATTCTCATTTACATATTATGAATATTAATTAGCAAAAGTACTACTAATTTCTGGCTAGTCATACTTTGAACGACAAAATTATTTTATATCTACCTGTGTGACGTCAAACGCGCGATTCTACGCCAGTACTTAAAACCTTCCATCCTTTATGGGTGGATTTTACATAGATAAATAAAATCGTATAATAAAAAAAATGAGGATGTTTAATTTGACGGTATGCCTTTTTGTGCTTCTTTGTTACTTTTGTTTGTTTTTATAGTGATTAAGATGATAACACAATGTTGACTGCTGAACCCCTATTTTTGACATGTTTACCTTTTGTGTCTGTTTGTTTTGTTACGCGTCTGTTTGTTTTGTTCACGCATCGTTGTCAATATAATGGAATTAATTTGATGCGACTGTCATACAAGTGAGAGGTTTGGCTAGCTATAAAACCAGGTTCAATCCACCATTTTCTACATAAGAAAATGCCTGTACCAAGTCAAGAATATGACAGTTGTTTTCGTTCCATTCGTTTGATGTGTTTGAGCTTTTGATTTTGCCATTTGATTAGGGACTTTTCTTTTTGAATTTTCCTCGGAGTTCAGTATTTTTGTGATTTTACTTTTTTGTATATGTCTCTATACCATTGTACTTTGATTTTAAATTACGAGACTAAAGGTTCAAGATTCAAGATATAAAAAAACCTTTAAACTTAATCATAAAATAGAAATGTCAACATTAATGTATTTTTATTTTATATTGAGAATATGCAGCTAGATCTGGACAAAGAGAGACAACCTCGTCATTTTCATATTTCAGAGGTGGGTTTGACTTAGTAATGAATCCCGATTTTCTGTTAGGTCAGATATCATATTTAAATATAAATTTTAAAATATAACTATCTTCATTCGTCATCAACCATAAGAATTTATTCTCTGAAAGCTTAATAAAAAAATAATATTTATAAATTGTATATTGTGATAACAGTAATACACGTTGGATATTCTGTTTATTTGATGTCAAAATACACTTACCTTGTGCAGAGACATATATACACATGTGTATATATGTCTCTGCCTTGTGCATTTGAGTCAATGTCAACATAATATAAATTGAATTATAATATTTTGTTATTATTTTGGTGTGTGTGCGTTTCTATATGTTTTGTTTTTTATTACATGTCTGTTGTCTAGATTGCATTGCATATATTAATTATGGTTTATAATGATATTGTTTAAGTACTATGATGCCCACCTGGGTCCTAATTTGGTGAATAAAAATATATTGTTCTAATCTATTCAACATGAATTTACATATATGTGTCACTTGGAACACAAATCTTATATTATAAAAGGGAACAGCTAGTGTTTTAAGTAACTGCATAGTGGTTAAAACCGATGACCGAGATCCTAGAACAACAGCTGTGGAAAAATAAGTTGAAGATGCCAACTTACTGGCTTAATGGTACTCCAAGAATGTATTCACATAGCAACATTTTAAACTTATTTTACACAAAGCTCCTATAGCCTGCTGTACTTGTTGCTTGCTATTTTAGGAAGGCAATGATAACATTATAAGAAAATTTTGTTATTTATATCATATTTTTTTTTTATTTTGCTATTTACCAAAACGTTTTCTTGTGAATTTATAAGTAGTAGCGTCCTTGCTAAAAGGAGGCAAACATTGAAAAGGCCAAGATTTCTTTTTTAACGGGGGAGATATTTTTTGTCACTAGATTTCCCACTGTACATATCAGCCAGAGAAAATATATTGTCGCCAACAATTAACGTCCGTTAGACTTTTCATGTGGTTCGCTTTAAGTTGTTGATAGTTGGTTATTTACTTCTTAAACATTTTATTGATCAAGACCATATGACGTCATACTGGGAAGAGAAATGGCTGAAGCTGCTGTAAACACACTGCCAGTTTCCAAGTTTTATTGCCATTCGTGCTCTGAAGAAATAAACCCCAAATTACCAGTTAGAATATTTATTAATTATAGAATATTGTAATCATCTTGTTTCAGTTTACCCTCAACCGAAAGTCACAATTTCAAAAAAAAGTACCAGTCGCTGTTTTCACAGGTTAACTTGGATATAACTGTAAACACAACGCCAGTTGCCAGGTTTTTTTGCCATGCATGTTTTGAAGAAACCCTCCTCCCCTTAATACCAGTTGAAATATTCATCAGTTAGAGAAAATTGCATATCATTTTGTTTTAGATTAGTCTAAAAAAAAAGAGCCACATAATTTGTTAAAAGCGTATACTTCTCCCCCTAGTCACTAGCCTAGTGTGTATGCCATCACTGTTTACATTTTTTTCTTTTACTAGTGACTCGCCCAAATAATTCTGAGGTCTGTTAAGGCTATTTGAATTGTTTGCTGTGACCCCTTCCTGTGTAAGACATAATAGTGTCCTGTGAAAAAGTGTCCACCTGGACAGTTTTTCATAGAATTTTGGTATTAAACAATGTTCATTTCCATGAAATATTGTCCCCCAAGTGGATAGAATTTTACTGCAAAAGTTATGAAATAGTGTTCACCCACAGGACAAGTTTTCATAGTAGTTGGTAATTAAATTGTGTCCTCCAAGGGAAGTAATACAAAGGTCATTAAAAGTTTTACTATACTTGAATTTTAATAAAATCAGAAAGATTGATTAGAAATTGATTAATATAAACAAACAAATAATGGATGGAAATGAATATAGAGAAATTTAATGTTCTAAGAAATGCCCAGGTAATGCTAATGACAATGAAAGAAGAACAATATTATAAGAAGGAAGTACATGTATGTAAAGTATAAAATCAAATGTGAAGAACTTTACTATATATATTATGAGGAGAAGGCAGAAGAAAATATAGAATTTTGGTATTAAATAATGTCCATTTCAATGAAATATTGTTCCCTAAGAGGACAGAATTTTACAGCAAAAGTAATGAAATATGGACCACCCACAGGACAATTTTCGTAGTAATTGTTACTAAATTGTGTCCTTAAAGGAAAATAATACTGAACTGCATCTGTTACTTATTTGAATTTAAATCATTATACATGTACATATATTAAAAAAAATAAATAAGAATCGAAGATAAGGATGATATGAGTGCCAATGAGATAACTCTCTGTCAAAGTAACGTCCAGTAATAACAAGGCAAAGGATATCATTTAATATCATTTAATACTTTAATCATATCAAAAAATGACCTGGCGGACATAATGTCCTGTGAAAAAATGTCCACCTGGACAGAATTATATTATTAAATAATGTCCATGTTCATGAAAATTCTGGTTCATCAAATTTTACCGAGTTCGGTTTGTAGATTTATTTTAGGTAGCAATATACAGTTAGGAAAAAAAAAAAAAAAAATTATCCTCATAAATTTTACCATCCCCTTTTCCTTGCTTTCTTACAAATTAAGCTTACTGTTTGTGTCATATATGTGCATATGTATATAATCAGTATCTTCCATAGAGTTGAAATGATAAAAGATAAGTGTATCCATGGCAACAACTTGCATGTATTTGCTATAAAATATTGAAAAAAGGGGGTCAGTGTTCTCCCCAGGCCGATATGACGCTGCGGTCCCACAGCGCCTTCTGAATATTTTTGTTGTCCCGGCAGCGCTTACATTGGCACGCAGTGCCTTAAAAGATAATCCGGTAGCGTTTTAATTTTCATATTTCATTATGAACTGTTGATAACTTTTGTCAAGTTAAAGATTGCTGCTGAGAAGAAAATTAATATTACAACAACTTACGCAATTGTTGATGGACTCCAGTCTATCCTTTACCTGTATATGCCTTATCAGATCACGTAATTGCATTGATTATCATCAAATAGATAAATATTTTTCTTTCATACTTTTTTCAGTTTTTCAGGGTTAGAATTAAATGGGAAAGCTCAAAATACAAATACGAAACGTTATTACGCATGGCTTTCCTGATTATTGACGAATTAAATATCAAATTTTCTCATTGGGTCAATAATAAAAATCTATTTTAACACGACCAATGAACATGATGAAAACATGTGGTAACTTTGCAATACACAACTACGAATATTTATGAATGGAAGTATTTACTTAAAAAAATGTAAAGTAAACTTGAATTTATGATAAATTCATAATGTGAATCAATAGTTTGTGTCAGAATGTGAAATTTTGTTCTTAGCAAATAATTTAATTGTCATGTTTATAAAAACAAATCAGTTATGTCTGTATTGGTCCTTGCACCGGAAAAAGTTGGGTACGGAAACGCAGAAGCATATTTATAATGTCACTAGTTAATAATTTCCATGAACTTTACTTTGAAGAATTTGTCAGGTTTCTACCTGCCAAAGAAAAGATTGTGACAAATACACACGTAAGTGATCTCGAAATGACAAACTGCGAAAATTGGTCAGCTGTTCATTTTAATTCTTTTGTTTTAAAAGTTGTATCCCAAAAATTACAAACTGCTTAATAATACAATATCTTTATAAGAAGGAGCAGATTCACCAGACATGGACATATCTAAAGCTGTTCAGCACTGGAAGGCTCAAAGGAACTGGAAAATATTCTCTTGAAATTACTAAATTTGATCTCTTAAATTGAAATTTAACTATATAAATGGACTGTGATATCAATGTGTTTTATATGTGTGTAAATGATTATATTTTATTTTATGATAATTTATAAATAGTGTACATAATTAAACACCTAGCCTGTCATAAAGTTTTTGAATTCATATTGTATTTATGAATTTTGAAGGATTGTTTCGCCTCACAATAGTTCACTCCAAAAAATAAGGGTTCCGCACTACAAATATTTTGCGCCTTCAAAAATTTCTGGGGAGAACACTGGGGGGTTAAAGATGTCACATATTTCCCCCAAATTTGGCCAAAAGTAGAATTTCAATCCCTTGGAGTGATAGCTTTTCTGAAACTGTTTACATAAAACTATGAAGAGATCAAATAAAAATCATATGTCTTTTGTCTCATTTTTTTGTAAAATTGCATCAAAAAGTTCGTGTGAAAAAAAGTGTTTGTAAACATTACAAAAAATTTCTGAACCTATGGCCGGTCTGGCTGTGAAAATATGGACAGTCAATCAAAAAATAGCCCATACATTTTTTGTACATCTAAAAAATAATTTTTATGTTCCTATAAACACACTTTGAATGCTAAATTAGTCATCAGCTGTCTAGAAATGAATGTTATTGCACAATAACTTTCATATTTGAAAAATCCACCGGGGCCAAAATGCGAAACAACACTCCTTACTGTGTATTGCTACCTTATATTCTTCAAAAGGGAAAGATCTTGGGGAAATATTTTAAAAAAGAAGTAGATCATCGTCATCTCAAATATACAAATATTTGGAATGAAAACAGATTCCTTTTGAATATTGAAATATTGATTTCTGATCATTTTCACAAGAATGCTGTACAGAAATGAGGATTTTTTTATAGCCAAACATTACCTCAATGTTCTCAATAAGAGCCGCAACCGGCAAAATTCGCCGTCTATTGCGTGTTTTGTGCTGGCTATTAATTTATTGACAAAAATATGACATACGCAAAAATTGCAAAGTAGGGATCTGTCGTACATCTTTTTTTTTCTACCAACTGGTTCTGAGTCGTCCGCCAGGCATAAATAATGCAATAGTAAACGTAAACCAGTTTTAAATCATTTGAGCGTTAGAAACAAAGCGATAAAATTTGTACAAATCGAAATTGATGTTGACTCGGATATTTTAGACAGCTTGTTGCAAACTCAAACAAGAAGAGAACGATCAGTGATTACTTTTAGCATGAGCCGGATATACAGTAAAGTAAAGATAAGAATAAAGAAGCTTTATTTAGAGTCGGCAGAGTATACAAAAAGAGACAACATAAGCTCTAATGAGCTTTTAACCGACATGAAAGCTCGCTTAGTGTATCTTACACGGATTTAAACTTGTGTGCATTTATCAGTCAGGGGACTTCCTTAAATGAGTGATTTTCTAAATCACTTATGTAACGTTATGTCCATAAAGGTTGGAAGTAAGAGTTGTCTTTCTTTAATAATCACCTATTTAAGTAGTACAAATTAATCACTAGACTAAGTGATTTAATTTTATTGTAGCTTTAAATATAGAATACTAATGATCCAGGGACTAATTATGTTGCTAAAATTATCAGAACCAACATCTGTGTTGATAGGATGACTGTGTCATGTCACTCACAGTCAGGTGATGACCTTGTACTAAATCTAGGATAATGACATAAAAATCACTTGTTTAAGTATCATACCTCAATTTCCTTCCAAAAAATCACTTTTTTTTCATTATTTCAATAACCCCCACTAATTTCAACATCCCCAAACAGTGAAATTTTGATCGCGAACAGTAGAATTTTATTACATAATCTATAAGATGAAACCTTGAATTTTACAGGAAAAATACTCCCACTGCTGGGAAAAATCTGTTAAGAAAGTATCAGTTCATTATGTAAAGCCATTTTTATAGCATTTTTATGCCCCGCCGTAGCGGTGGGGGCATTAAGTTTTACCCTTGTCCGTCTGTACGTACGTACGTACGTCCGTACATCCCAAAATTGGTTTCCGTTCTCTAACTTGAGTTTGCCTCAACCAAATGTTATGAAACTTATACACAATGCTTATTTTTACAAAACACAGATCAAGATTGAATTTTGGTGGGGTCACTTTAACCGTTCTAGAGTTATGCCCCTTTATAAATGGAAAAATTGCAAAATTTTTAGTTTCCATTCTCTAACTTAAGTTTGCCTCAACCAAATGTTATGAAACTTATACACAAGGCTTATTACCTACAAAACACAGATCAAGTATGAATTTTGGTGGCGTCACTTTAACCGTTCTAGAGTTATGCCCCTTTATAAATGGAAAAATTGCAAAATTTTAAGTTTCCGTCCTCTAACTTAAGTTTGCCTCAACCAAATGTTATGAAACTTATACACAAGGCTTATTACCACAAACCAC